AAATCAAGCATCTGCCTTTGCTGTCTCTTCAAGTTTCATGGACTTAGTGCTTGATTTTGCTTAGTGTCTCTTTCTTTCTGAAGTAAATGTTTATTGGAAGCTTACTTTTACAGGTCTGGTATCCATCTTCTGGAGCTGACCCTTTCAAACAGGAGGACTTCTTGCAGGTATTTTCTTGATTCATATTTTCTTTTCACAGAAACCTAAGCTGCATTAAGTTATAATATATGTAAATCGGCCACCACCTTCCTTGGAACCCTAAGCTGTATTGAGTTAAGCAAAACAGTTGCATAATTGTGTTATGTGGTAAATCTGACTGTAGTTTCAATTTTGATTAAGGTGTCACAGTTTTACTTTGAGGTCTTGGCTTTAATTTCTGTCATGTACTGATAACACGTTTCCTTCAGTTGGATCCAGAGTTGGAGTTTGATCGTGAAGTTTATCCTTTGGGGCTTCTTCCCAATGTTGGCGTCGTTGTTGGTGTCTCGCAGAGAATGTCATTCTCAGCATGCACTGAATTCCCTTGCTTTGAGCCTTCTCCTCAAGCCCAAACAATATTGCACTGCTTACTTAGACACCTGCTTCAGGTATCACTTTCCTTCTAGCTGCCACTTCTTAAGCTGATCATGGTTTTAAATGGGCGAGATATGCCAGGAATCATAGTTGTCTTTTCAAATAAGCAAGTAAACTACCATACTCAAAAGAAGAAGAGTCTACACTCTTTTCAAAAACTATAAATATCATAAGAGAAGAGAGTGTTAGTGAAATTTTAATTTTTTATGTTTTTTTCTTTGTCAGAGGAACAAAAGTGAAGAAGCTCTACGGTTAGCTCACTTATCAGCGGAAAAGCCTCATTTCTCTCACTGTCTAGAGTGGCTTCTCTTTACAGTATTTGACGCTGAGATTTCGAGGTACATCTTTGTTGGAGCTAGAGGAGAGAAATTTCTGTCATATCTAAAATAAGCAGATCCTCTGTAGCACACTCCTTTGAAATCTTTCTTGGGAGTACTATTTTTTCTTTCCGTAGGAAGAGGGATCTTATTCCATCGCATTATATTCTGTCTGCATCCCCTGCCCTGCCATCTTGTATCGTAAGATCCAGCTCCCCAGCATCAATGACCTCAGTATTGGTCTATAACTTGAATCTCGAATTCTAAAGTCCTTGATAACCAGCTTTCTTCATTTTTCTCAGAACAGATGCTTTTATTAGGTCAATGCAGTGTCTATTCTGTAAAATTAAGCAAATATAAACCTAAATGCTGGCATATTTGCAATATTTGGTGCAGGAAACATTTGAATAAGAACCAGTTATCAGTTCCCAGACATGTGGGCAGTCATTCTCTTTTGGACAAAACCTGTGATCTGATTAGAAACTTCCCAGAGTACCTTGATGTGGTAGTAAGTGTTGCAAGAAAAACTGATGGTCGACACTGGGCTGATTTGTTCACTGCTGCTGGAAGATCAACAGAGTATGTTCTTTTATCTTTAAGCATAACATATTCAAGAATAATCTAGGGCTGGTCATAGTTTGAGGGGCCTCATTTCTCATCTATCAAGTGCTTTAGAGCCTGATGGTACTATTTAGAAAATTCAAGAAATAGCTATAATCCTTTCCATTTTCAAAAGTATTTCATTGTTACATAGGCAGCATTTCCTATTATAGGGACAATGAGAAAATGTTTTTGTTTATAACATCTTAACAAGCATGTAATCCGTGCTGCCCTTGGTGCGTCTTCATTGCACGTGTTGCCTTGTATTCGTGTTGATGTTGGCTCGTCAGTCAAAAGCTGGCTTCTCGTACATCGAATGTCGTCCATGCTGGTCCTAGAATACAAATGTAGATTCCTTCTTCATTCCCCTTCTCCATGTGCTCATCCTGGGGGAAAAGAAAGCAAAGAGCAAAATCTTTTATGTACTCAATTGTTTGATACCATTCCGACATGTTAGGTTGTTTGAAGAATGCTTTCAGCGTAGATGGTATCGCACTGCGGCATGCTACATACTGGTGAGGATCTCAAATTTTCTGTTGAATTACGACTTAACTTCTCAAATATGATTTATTTTCTCTGCTTTGTGTAACCATTTTTATGTGTTTCCACTTCTCAGTATGCTTATGATTTCTTATGAGGAATATGGGCAGTCATTGTTTCTCGCATTTCTGAACTATGAATGTGTTACTGGTGATATTGCCTGATATGATGTGTTGAATTTGCAGGTGATCGCCAAACTGGAAGGCCCTGCTGTCAGTCAGTACTGTGCTTTACGTTTGCTACAGGTAGCTAAGATTACTTTGTATAATTCACCCTGCCAAACAAAGTCAATTAACTCTTCAGGCCCCAGATAAGGCATTGCAAGTTGATCTGATGGAGATATACTACTTTTCAGGCTACACTTGATGAATCCTTATATGAGCTTGCAGGGGAGCTGGTACGGTTGAGGAGATGATTTATCATTCTTTTTTCCCCTTCAATCGCTGTAGAATCTAATGTCACAATTCTTTTTTGGTTCGTAGGTGCGATTCTTGCTGAGATCTGGAAAGGATTATGAGCCAACATCACCAGATTCAGACAAGCCGTCATCTCCTAGATTCTTGGGCTATTTCTTGTTCCGCTCCAGTTACAAGAAGTCGTCTTTGGATAAGAGGTTTTACACTGAGAAACTTGTTTTTTTTTTTTTTTTGGCCTGATCCAAAACTTCTATGACGGGTCATCAGCCAACTCTTTCCACTTATGCAGCACCTCATACAAAGAGCAGAATGCTCATATTGCCTCAGTCAAGAACATTTTAGAGAGCCATGCTAGCTATCTGATGTCTGGAAAGGAGCTTTCCAAGCTGGTTGCTTTTGTAAAAGGCACTCAATTTGATTTAGTGGTAAGAAAGAGTTTCATGGCACTTGCTATATACTTCGAAAATATGAGTTAATCATTCACGAATTGTAATATAGAGAATTTGTGATGTGATTGCAGGAATATTTGCAAAGAGAGCGATATGGCTCAGCTCGATTGGAGAATTTTGCGTCAGGGTTGGAACTAATTGGACAGAAGGTATGATAAGTTAATCATTATCAACATTTTTCTCCCTTTTTCCACAAAAAGTTGTTGGCAGTGCGAATGCTGCTGCTTGCTAGGCGCTAGAAATGGCCAAAGGATGGGTCGAGATGGGGACCTCGATGCCCATATTCGGCCCTTTACTGGCACGGGCGAGCTTGGGTTGTTTTGCACGAGGCAAGAGTCAGGGCTGGTTGAGACATTGGATATGTAACTTGATTACTTGAAGAAGATAGATGCAACTAGTCAGTTCTCATCTAAGAAATATATAAAAAATATTGGAACGATCTGAGAGATGAAGGCTTCACTAAGTGGTGGCTGGTAACTAAGAAAGAGTTGAAACATGATTGGAGATTAAATAGGAGTATTTTTTAGTAAATACTGGAGAAAATCTAGAACAGAATGGGTTAAGAATGGGGGTGGGCTAGGAAGTAGAAATAGTCGTATCCTTTCCCACTTACCCACCCCAAATAGCCTGGGGCAGGCAAAATTTCAATGCTTACTTGGAGTCATTTGTTAATTAATCAATTTGGCATGTGCTTTCTTCTTCCTTTTGTGACCTCGAATTAATGGCTGCAGCTTCAAATGGGTACACTTCAGAGCCGGTTAGATGCAGAGTTTCTATTGGCTCACATGTGTTCTGTCAAGTTCAAGGAATGGATAGTTGTTTTGGCCACCCTTTTAAGACGATCAGAGGTATGCTCTTCTGATGTCTCACTGCATTAGGTTAGGAAGAATACAATGTAAACTATAATTGACTGGTTTGTTCTTCGGGGGTTCTTGTGCAGGTACTTTTTGATCTTTTCGAGCATGATGCACGATTATGGAAAGCATATAGCATCACTCTTCAGGTAATCGGTGACATTAGTAACGGATCTGCGTATAGCTTATTCTGTCTATACCACCAAAATATCAGATGTCCTGAAGGCTGACTTTGAGCTCTGTGATCCTCTTGCATATTACTTCAGTCACACCCCACATTTGCCGAGTACAACGACCTTGTTCAAGCATTGGAAGAACGGCTATCTTCATCCTCTAATCCAGAACGCATATGACGAGATGAACTGAGAAGCAACATTTTCAACGTGGCTCTGTTTGGTGGATGAGTTGGAAAACAAAGATGAAGGGAGAGATGAGATTCTTGGTTGCGTTCTCAGAGGCCTACTCTCTCGGTCTATTCTTACCTTACCATGCAGGCAAATTATATTTCGTGTAGATACTAAAAGTGACATATAATCTTCTGTTGGAATCCTTCCTCCTAAATTTTCCATTCCAGTCTTTGATTCTTCTTTTTTTGGCCGATTGGTCTTGTGCTCTCGTAGCTTTGGCATCTGTGTATAAGTATATTGTTGTCTTTTTACTTTACATCTCCTGTTGTACAAACATAGTTTCTGAGAAGCTGAAATAATCTCTAGTCCGTTCACAATCAACCACTAATAAATCTTTGTATTCCTGAAACTCGGTCTGTCATTAAGCTGTTGTTATATCTCAGGTCTGCAAACAACAAGCTACACTTCAGTTTCTCTCTCCAAAAGCGTCGCCTAGATTCAAAATCTTTACACGCTTCTTATATATCTGTGAGCAAACATCATTTCACGACCATACTTCACGGTCGTGAAACTGAATGTGTGACATATGAAACGAAGTGTTTCACAACTAGCTGTGCCCCTGAACTACTTTACCTAGTCATGAAATTTCTCAAACTTGGTCTCATTGGCCATTAGAGCTCCAATCCCCATCGTGATACCTACTGTCCCAAAAGTGACATTTGACATGAAAAACACTTAGAATCTAGAGTCTAAAAGATGAATATAAATATAATTATCACTTTCTAACCCGATTTTATCACCCTTATACAATGTCTTTTCAATAGGAGAAGAAATGAAAATAAACAATAGCAAAAGAAAAAGCAGAAAACTCGAAAGAAAAACCAAATGCAGAATTTTTGTTTTCCCGACATTGAAGGATTTGGACAGATCGTGTAACACGACATTGATTATTATTCATAGTACAACATACACAACGTGTGGTAAGGGGACAAAAACACACACACAAAAGTATTACAAACACATTTCCATTCTCGTTATTATGAACTAAATCACATCCACTCGTGGCTATATATAGCTCTCTTGTTCACACACATTACTAGCTAGGAAAAGTAGCTAGACATCCATTTAGTTTGAAACCTTTTTGACAATGCCTGTATCATCAGTATCTATTCTACGCACGTTTTTCACCAGCTAAAACTAATGGACTCGAACTGCAAACTGTCGTCGGCCAATCCGCTCGAACATATCGCAGCAGCCTCATGCCTCAGCCCCGCCGGCCCGCTCACCATCACCCCCGTGCTCCCTCCTTCCGTACAATATTCCACCAACAATTCTAAGATCCAAACAAAACGGTCAAACCACGATAAAAAAAAAAAACACGAGATGTAATTTTTCCCATAATCGAAAGAACAACGAGACAGATTACTTACTCCTCAAGTTAGGTCTGACCCCGTAGTGCAAGTTCGTGGCCTCCTCAATAGTCCGCAAAGGAAGACTCTCCAACTCCTCCGTCATCTCATAGACAGCACCACCGCCGACCGGAGAACCGCCGGCGGTCGGGGTGGCGCCTTCCACGTTCCTTATCTGGATGGTCTGATCCCTCCCGCTCTTCCTCTTGTTCCAGAGGAACGCACCGCTGCTCGCCGCAGCTACACACGCGCACAACACGAGCATGTAGAGGAAAGCGGTCAACGCCATGGGAAACCCTAATTCCCCGGACTTCTTTCCTTCCGGGTAGATGTAGTAGCCCGTGAGGATCCCGATGATGACGAGGAACGCGAGGAAGGAGGAGGAGACGACGGCGGCGAGCCAGAGCCAGCTGGCGGTGGGGCCCAGGATCGGGGAGATGGGCGCGTGGGTCGGGGAAGGCTTGAACCACTTGGTTCGAACGTTGTTGTTGTGGAAGGGGGAGGTTGCCGCCGCCTGTTTCTCTCGGGTGATGTAGGCTTCGATGGTGAGGCGGAGGTTGGCGGTGGCGGCGGAGGAGGCGGCGGTGATGGGGAGGAGGAGGTGGAGCATTGCGAGGTCGGCGGTGGTTTTGAAGGAGGAGATGAGGATGAGGCGTGGGGTTTTGAGTTGGAGGTGGGAGGATGTGAAGATGAGGTCTCGGATTATGGAGATGAATGGGGCGATCCCGCTGCCTCCACTTATCATCACCAGTGTCTCGTGCCTGATTCAGATAGAGAAGCATGAGAGTATAGATCATATATATACCAAATACCATACCGTTCAAATCAGATCATGGCTGTGTGGTCGGGTTCGGTAATAATCTAGACCGTGCAGAGCATACGTTAAGCAAAAAAAAAATAACGATTCGTCTAGTCAAACGGTCGGGGGAAAAAAAATCGAACCAGTAACTGAAAATTTTTCCCTACTTAAAGCAGAAATTCTAACACGCATGCATGATTTGAAACACCATATAAGTCTAAGTAAATAACAAAACCACAAAGACAGAGCAACCCAATTTGCACCATAACACTCCGTCATAAACATTAAATCGGTGTCGCGTATAGAGAGACCAGTTTCTTTACTCAGCGTGGATGTGTGGTTTATCAATGAAGGACCGATGAGATTCGCAAAATTAGGGTTGAGCTACTTTAGTCTCTCGACTGAACTGCAAACGCCCAATTGATGAGAAGTGGGCGTTAAGTTCAAGATTTGGTTCGATAAATCACAGTCTAAACTAGACCAGACCAAGAAATCAATACATATTCTATTATGTAGACCATAGACAATGTAAAATCATTTTTCAACGGTCTAACCTCTTCGCCAGACTAGCTATACGATCGGATTCGGTCCACAATTTTTTTCGAACGATTCTGTTCCGTTTTCTCAGCCCTACTTACCTCTTTAGCGCGCGAGCTAACAGAAAAATAAACGTAAACATGAACAATGTAAGTATACCTGAGAAAATCAGTGGAAGCAGGGCCATAAGGACCTTCAACAGACACATCAAAGTGATGATCCGCCGCCGCTGAAGAAGAAACCATCTCGTACAGCTTCTTCGTCCACTTCCCTTCCCCTTTGATCACAACGCTCAGCTCGTCCGTCTCCAGGCTGCTGTTGGATGTGACGGTGAACGGGTGCCACTGCAGCTTCGATATCCCCGGCACGTTCAGAAACAGCACGCTCGTCGGGCTGTACTTCAGCCCCGGGGACTTGGAGAAGCTGAGCTCCAGGGTCTGGCCGGCGGCGGGCAGGATGCGGGCGGAGAGCAGGCGGACGTGGCGGCGGGACTGGAGGAAGCGGAGGTAGCGGTCGACGAGGAAGAGGTAGAACCCCGGGAGCATGTAGCAGGCGTAGGTGAATCCGACGTGGAAGACGAAGAAGACGACGAAGACGATGTAGAGGTAGTGTGTGTAGAAGAAGAGCTCGAACATCTTCCGCCTTATGCGGGGGAATGTGGTGGCCCACAGCCCGAGCCCGGCCAGAAGCGAGATCTCCCCCGCCACGTTGGATATCTCGCTTCTGCTCCATTTCAGCATCTGCATATGTAGTTAAATATGTTTTCAGTTACGGACAATCCATCTACAATATCGGATACATAGTCGATTTGAATTTGAGGTAAAGCGGATAATATTGTACTAATAATATTATCCAATTTCAATGGAATTTTTTTTCTTCTTTCGGAAACATTAAAAAAATGTGGTTGCGCAAGCGCAACTGCATTGATTTAACTTTTGGGGAATGGAGCAGCAGATATACCGTGTACGTACACGAAATAAAAAAAGGGGCCCACCTGAACCCTCTCCCACTAACAAACAGGAAGAAAAGGAACTGTCACATGACTCCTAAGCCAAGAAACTAGTCAACGGCCCATATACGTATCCATTTAGAACTTGTTGCGGGGCCCAATGAGAGGGAATTATGCGGAAAACTAGGGCAAAAGGAGAGATCAACGAAAATTGGATGGGCCCAGATCGCACTTTTTATGACTGCTGGAAAACGTGACCACTAATCCACTATATATGTATATAATAAGGGTGTGAACTCGCGGATCGATCTACTTTGATCTTAGTCCGGTAAGAAAAATGAGTTGCACGCACCAGTCAAGTCGATCGTTATAAGATACCAAATCGGAGATCAAATTGTGTCATTTTTTTTCTCCAAAAAATGAGAATATCTATCACATTTTTTATTTGAATATTAAGACCAACGAAAAAAAAAAGGGTTAATAGCATTTTGTACCCCTCTACTATGGCAAATTAACAAATATACCCCTCTACTAAAATTTTGCACAAATATACCCTTCTAAAATAAAAACGTAACTAATATACCCTTCCATCCAAATATCTGTTAAGTGACCTTCAAAGGAGTTGTGAAATGACTCAATTACCCTAATTTACTCTTAAATACTCCTAATTTTGATTTTAATTATTTTATGTGCCAAATCAATAACTAAAAAAATAAAACCCTAAACTAATTTCTCGGAGCCGCCGCGGGGCTGTTGTCTTCGTCCTCATCACCACCGCTCCTTCTCGCAGGGAGCACTTTGGGTATCAGATGTCCCCAAAGGGAGAATTATCAGGGGTCTCATGAATTATCAGGGGTCTCATGTATTATTACCACCATCGCCACAAATCTCTGCCTCCGGAGCCGCCTCTCTGTATTCCCCTCACTCAGACCCTCCGCCGTCGCCGTCGTCTTCGTCAAGGTGAGATTGCTACCGGCGGCGACGAATCCGGAAAGCTAGTCATCCGCTCCTCCCTGGTCTGATACGGGTAGTTATAGCTATTGATTCCGGTGTAGATTCCATCGTTCATCTCGTATGTGATTGACTGATTTCTGGGGAAGAGACGTTTGTGCGTGCGAATTAGTTTAGGTTTTTTATTTTTTTATTTACTGATTTTGGGTATAAAATAATTAACATCGAAATTAGAAGTATTTAAGAATAAATGCGGGGTAGTTGAGTCATTTCACATCATGTTTAACGGTCACTTAACAGATAAATGGATGGAAGGGTAAATTTGTTACGATTTAATTCTAGAAGGGTATATTTGTGCAAAAATTTAATAAAGGGGTACATTTGTTAATTTATGATAATAGAGGGGTACAAAATGCTATTAACCCAAAAAAAAACTAAAGTAGCAATCACCTGAGACATCTGGCCCATGAGAGCCCAGTAGACGATGTAGCAGATGCCATGAGCGGTGAAGAACGTCATGACGGCGTGTCCGAGCCAAATATGATACTTAATGCTCCCTTCCGACGTCAGGCCGAAGAATTGCAGCACCGCCGACCCACGCGCCACCGGGAAGAAGAGGAGCGTCAGGCATATGTTCCCCACCAGCCCAAGCCACAGCCCACCCAGGTCCAGCTTCAACTGCCACCTAATCCCATTTTTCAATGAAATCAGCAGTTAGTACTGTATAATATTCTTTCCCTTTCTAGACAGAGATACTGTGATTTATCCCCCGCCTTAATTTGGTTAATTGGTAGTAATTAGAGTCGATTTAACCGACGTTACGTTTTGATTCTGGATGATTCTTATCTAATATTACGCATTGATTTTTTTTTTTTTACCAAAAAACAGGAATGGGCTTTTTTTACTTTTTGAGGCCGCCGAGGAAGGCCGGATCGGTGGCGTCGATGGACTTGAAGCTGGAGCTGAAGTAAGTGAAGAGCGACCAGAAGAGGAGCACCACGAACATGACGAGAAAGGCCAGCTCGATCCCCGTCACGATCCCCAATGGGCCTTTCACCAGCATGGGCTTCCGCCACGTGGCCAGCACACGTGTCTCTTTCTCCTCGTCGTCGCTCTTTTTCGCTGTAGGTTTTAGCTTGGCGGCGAGGTGGAGATAGACGCAGCTCAGAACGGCGACCAGCAGTGGCGGGAACGTGAATATCAGCATCATCACCCCTGCCACGTCAGATCCATCGAATCGAATTTTAAATACATGACAATATAATAATATAGAGAGAGAGAGAGAGAGAGAGAGAGAGGGAGGGAGAATCGCAATTTGTAGGTATACCTTGTTTGCCAAAGTAGTTGGAGGAGAAGCGGGATTTGAGCTTGGGAAGCCATTTGTGTTTGTAAGTGTTGGTGGGCAGCAGAACCCACATCATTGCGTAACCAAGAAGCACTCCGAAGATCAACACCCGAATCAGTTTCCTCAAATCAGAAGAAGAAGAAGAAGAAGCCATTTGTGCTGATTGGTGTTGTTTTTTTGATTCTGGAGGGATGGATGAAGAATCTAAGAGGAGAGGTTTAGGTATATATAGAAGAGGGAGAGAGAATATAAAATGAGTTCCGGTAAGTAAGGGGGGGAAAATAACAGGAAGAAAAAAAAAGAAGGAAAAAGCATGCAACAGCATGATTGATTGATATAAAGAGGGGGAATTTAAGGAGGGGGAGAGGCATGGGCTTGGGCATGGTGGAATGAGGGGCAGAAGGAATGTTGCTGACGCCATCTTTATATCATTATCACACAATATTCTTTCCTCTTCGATTTACTAATTTGTTAACATATAATATATATTTTCCTTTTCCGTTTACTTAAACTTTATTATCAAATATAGGAAAGGTTGGGTACGTAGAAATTGGGAGCGTTTACTTTGAGCAGCACAGTGGGAGTGTGGAGTGGCAAGGTTCATGGCTTTGGTTTGGTTGCAACTTTGGGTGGTGCTAGTTACAGAGTAGAGGAATGCGAGTACTGTGACATATATTAGAGAGAGGCTGAGAGAATAGATAATGGGCGGGCGGAGGAAATTGAGGAGAGGTGTTGGGTATAGAAATGAATGAGGGAAAGCTTGTGGCGGAGGCTCATTTCTGTGTGCCCGGAGGGTGGAATGTGCGTGTGCGATGGCTTATGTGGCGTTATCTTTTGTTTTAAAAAAAAGTTGACAACAAAATTGGAAACCCGGTTTATGCCCCCCCCCCCCCTAAACTAGTATATTTATATATAATAATAATAATTTATTCAATGATATGGGAAGTAAAATAAAGTTTAGATGACAGTGGCGGATTAATAGTAGAGCACTAGGCCGCATTTAAATAATAAAAAAAATTAAATAGCAACTAGCACTGGATCGAAAGAGCTATGCGGAGAGGGCTAGAAGCAAGCATATCTCTTTTGCTATACTAGTTCTGAACTCAGAAGAGGGCTGCGACATGACCTAGGGACGGGAGGCCTCGCCTATATGTGCCACCAACTAGATGTAATGGTCAATATTATAAGGATTAAGGAGGAAAATAGAGAATTTTAGACAGCTAACATGTTTTTAGAAACTGAAAATGAGTTCAAGTGTATTCGCAGACTATAGTTAAGAACTTTTTTCGGCCTCGTACATATTTGAGACGAACTATAGCTCATTCATTTAACTCGGATTCCGCAAAAAAATTCGTGTAGAAGAACAACTTTTTTGTGCTCTACAAGTGGGAATGACAATTAGGAATGGCAATGGGGCAATCGGAGTGGATATTTCGATACATATACCCAACCCATGGCAAGTCGAGTCTAGGTTGAGTAATTTATCTTAGAGCGCTGGTCGGGGCAAGTCGATCCATATGGGTATGCAATTTAAAGAAAAAACAATGAATATATTCATTTTTCATTACAAAATAAAGAAACAAATTATAACATGATGAATGCAATTTGATTTCGAAGGTTTCGAGCCAGACCAATGGATATTCAAACGAGCCATCAAACTACCCACTCCAAGGCCCAACCCCAAGCTCCATGGGTCATGACCCATCCTGCAAGCCCAGACCTAACCACTAAAGACTCACCCCGATGCTCGAAAATGCTGGCCTCAAATTATAAGAAGCTCCGTCCATGAAAGCCACGGTGAAAACGAGGCCCAGCACAGCAGCACTAGTTCCTTCCACCACACTACTAGCACTATTAATCAACAAACAGGGAGCCAACTGATCGCAGCAATTGCAATCACAAAAGAGTAGCCGGAAAGGAAAACGACTCAGAATTTCTCAACGAGTACAAGTTACTTACATATTAGACGTTTACATAACGATTCACACACAACTGACAGGTAATGTATTTCGCAAGTAAGCTACTTACATATTAGACGTTTACATATGACTCACACAACGCGATGGCTTCTATAAATAGATTTCAGCATCCTCTCTTCTATACTATATTGAGAAGCAAGGGGGGGAAAAGAACAGATTGGCTCAAAACATTACGAGCTAAATCTGCCACATACATGAGAACTAGGTTTGCTCATTAAAGGAAAATCAGAACTTACCACCAAGGGAGGACTGGATTCCAACCTTCAGATTCACCTCCGAGACTTCGGTAGGCAGTTTAGTCCACGAAAACGAGTCCTTCACTCGCACTATCTTCCTCCTCATCAGCATAGAGACACTAAGAAGCAGGAGGCATAACACAACAACCAAAGTGATCAGGCCACCAGAATTCCCTCTAGGCCAGTTCTTCAAGGCCATGCCTCTGCACATCTTTCCATCAAAACTAGCCATTGAGTTGTTCATCTTCATGATCTCAACGCCATTCAGAATGCCATCCACAGCGTAGGCCATGCTCAAGTTAGAACGCCCAATAACCACACTTACAGCTCCCAGGTTATCACTGTCAACCACAAAATCAGCATAATATGGAGAGGCCAGCTCATATGCAATCGAGGAGAGGTCAACATCCTTGGATGCCAATTGCTCGTTGATGTAGACATTAAAGTAGAGCGAACCAAGAGACAGGCTAGCGATATCACAGAAATGCAGCCTCACAAGATACCTATGACCTCCGGTCACTCGAAACACCCAATTCATATTTGCCTCAGGAATTGAACTACTCTTGCTAGCTATCACTCTAGCAGAGTTGTAGACGAAATCGGGACAAACTTCCCGGCTAGCACCTCCAACCTGGTAGTTAATCCGCCCACTGAAATGAACCTTGCTTGAAAGGTCACTTGATTTGAAGAACCCATCATCAGGAATCCATGTTCTCCACACTGAATCATTAAATGGGGTCACTTTCGGACCTCCAACATTAACCCTATGCACAGTTTCAAGCCCTTGCTTGATCAAACCCTCGAATTTCTGAGTCTCGCCATCCCTCACGAGGGTCGCCGTGTCCGGAATCAGATCCTTGGGTGCAGAAAGTACCTCAATTGCATTCACGAACCCTAATTTACCCTTCTGGGTTGGAACAATCGTGATAACAAGCTTGTTCTGACTAACCCAGACCAAATACTCCTTCACCAGAGTGTCTGATACAGTGAAGTTGCTCAGGGCAACGTAATTGTCAACCAGGACGTGGAATCGGGCCTCTCTCAGATCGGAATTGGAGGAAACGAAAGGGTCGAAATGGAGGCGTACCATGTGAGTCCCGGGCTCCTTGATCTCGACCGCGTATCTGGAGGGTTTCCTGAAAACCCGAGCCGTGTGATAGATTTGGGGCGAGCTGGATCGGGGGGATCCGTTGCACAGCGCCGTCGTGAGAGCGGAGGATTGGAGCGGAGTGCCGGGATTGGAGGAGTGGAAATCGGAGACGAAACGGCGGCCGTCGACGGCGGCGTCGAGTGCGGAGCCGCAATTGATGAGATGGTTGTCGACGGGGGAGAAAGGTGAGAAAGAGAGGGCGGAGAAGAAGGAGAAAGAGAAGGCGAGGAGGAACAGAAGCGGAGTTCCCATGGCGAAGAGACGAGAGAGAGCTATGGGGAAATGGGAGGGGAAAGACGAGAGAGAGCTATGGGGAAATGGGAGGGGAAAGACGAGAAAGGGAAGGGAAGGGAAGGGAAGTTTTTGTTTGGCTGCAGAGTCCACGCGGGTCTTTCGAACTGGCCAAGCTGTAGTAGAGTTGAATCGGTTCGATGCGCGTTAGGCTCTGGGCCCCACATCAGTTGCCAGCCAGCCAGCCAATAGATTCTTGGAGTTGGAGGTGGAAATTATTATGGAGTCGGAAAATTTATTAAAAAGTTATGGATAGAAATTCAGGAAATTATGATTAATTAAACAGTAAAGACAGCGTAGGGAGTTTGCATTATCGATGAGCTACTATTCGGTTCGCACTCGACCCAATCAAATCGAACCAATTCTCAAATCAAATTAAACCATTCATTTTTCGATACAACTTTGATTCCTGAAATTAGGAAATTTCAACGAAACCAAATAAAAAAATTTGCAGTTTTAGTATGGAACCAAGACCAAATGGAGTCGAATTGTTCATCTTTCTATTCGAATTTGATTCCTAAAATTGGGGAATTTGTCATTTTGCTCTGGAACCAACTCTCATACCAAATCGATATGAATCGTTCGTTTTGTTTTTATTCAGCTTCGTTTCCTAAACTGGAAAGTTTTCATTTTGGTACGGTCCTAACCAAAATCGTAAACTCAACATAGTAAAGTGAACTAAATGTTAATTAAATTAAGGATATCCCTATAGTGACTTGGATCTTGGAGAAAACTTTCTACCTTTTACACAAAAAGGTCAACCACTTTCTAAGAAAATAATTTGTCGCTTCCACAAAGTGGTCCACTCTTCAGGCAAGTGCTCTCTCTCATTCATGTTCCTGTAGCTTAGTCTCCATAAGAAGAAGAAAAAAACTATATACGATGAAGTCCTTTTTCCTTGAATAATTCTACCACTCTTTTAATGACATGACATTCCCAAAACCACGATAATTGTAGCTCAATATACTCATTAAACCGAGCAGCCATGTATGTGTTCCATTGTTTCACCACTCCTCCATCCTTTTTCTTGTGTTTGATTGTTTCTCCATTCATTTTTCCAACCGGAGCTATGTGTTTGCATATGAGATAGCAAACATCTTACAGAAGAATTAGTCTAATCTCTTCCAACCCCTTATCTTCTCCTCTTTCTCGTCCCTCATATTCACAATCAAGGCCGCCAAGCCACGCATTCTTCCGGTTCTTCCACAGCTCCCCCGTATAAAAATTCAACTAATAAACAATCAATTTTCTTAAGCTAAGAAAAAATCAATTGGTCACTACAAAACAGTAGTTGGTTCTTTTTTTTCTTTCTTCTTCTTCTATACTTGTTATTTTCTAACTGTTTTCAGTCAAAAAAACAAAACAAAAAAAGTCATCGCAATTCCACAACTTCATTTGCTCCACACTCCCCCACATCAATCACCATCGTTCTTCTCTTCTTGGAGGGCACTACTCTGCAACAGTTTCTCCTTGGTGCCTGCATGCATAGTATTCCATCAAATTAAGCACACGCGCGTTCGAGTTAGAAATCTGAACGAGAGAGCTAGAAATCTAAATTCGTAATATTCGAATGGGCTAACAGGGATTAAAATTTTACCACTTATATATATTACCAAGATCCCGATAAAAAATATATTACCAAGATCTGAGTACATTGAGTATCGTATACTCCGCGAATATAGCCGTACCGAAAATTGAACCAAACTTAAACTGGTTAGGATCGGTTTACCTTGTCCCAGAAGTTCGGGTCGGGCCTCTTACGAACCTCGACCCGATCGACCCCGGACGGATCCTCAACCTTCCAGCTCTTGCACTTGGGATTCTCTCCCCGTGAACGGACGTACTGGCTCGTCGTCTCCCCCGTCGTCGAGCTGTACACCACGCTATCATTATTCGACGGCAACGTGTACACAAACGGCGTCTGACACGTGTTGGGGCGGACGGCACGGGTGTTGAAGGCGTAGCCCCTGTAGTCGGCTTTCTTGTGCCAGTTGACGAAGGTGCGGACGGGCATCTCCATCTCCCGCGGGGAGACGGTGCCACGCACGATCTGGACGGCGTAGCCCCACGAGACGGAGACCGTCCAGCGCCGTCTGCTGTCGTAGCAGATGGACTGCTGCATGAGGGCCGCGGGGTCCAGCGACATCGGGAGCGCGAGGCGCTGGAGGGACTGGAGGCGGCTGGCTTTCGGGAAGATCGGGTCGATGACGTCGATGTGGTGGAGGGAGAGTAACGGCGTTACTGGGTGGGCCGCCAGGAGGCCGAACGCGTTCCCGTACACGTCCAACTGTGGGCAGTGATTAATGAGATCATATGATTTAATTGATAAAATTATGTGATCAATCAATGAAATTACTCAGAAAAAAATATGTAAAGTAAACTTGTTGACGTATGTAATCATAAGAACCTAGGGTCGTTTGGATGGATCAATCTAGAAATGAGTGAATTTGATCGATTTGTCTCGTTTTATAAACGAGGCAATTAAAACGAGTCGATTCGAATTACCTGCCCCCACTCCAGGTAATTGAAATCGACTCAAAACGCGGATCAATTCAAAATACCTCAGGCGGATTGATCCATCCAAATTTTTTTGCGGGCAAACGCGAGGCAATTTGGTACAATTGTCTCAAAACGAGAGACAACTGTGTCAAAATTGATCCGTTACAATTCCTCATCCAAAATGCTGTGACAGATCTCGTATAAGAAAATTTCAGGAGTCTTTCAGATGATGAATTTATGAAATCGATCCAATTATTTCATATTGAGACAACTGGATCAAATTTCTTCGTCCAATTCCATCATCCAAATAAAAAAAATTAGTATTTCATAACTTACGTTGGGGGAAAAAAAATTTGTTCCACCAAACTCAATAGAGTTTTAACTTTTGACTCAAAATTTGTTTCTAACCTGATGGAAACCCGGCTCCTTGGTGAGAGGAACCCCAATCTCCGCCATACACGCCTGAATCCGATCATCGGAGCCGTACAACGCCGGATACCTCCCCAGGCACCGGTCCTGCATCGCCGCCAGCTTCACCGCCAGCGGGTAGCTGATCGCGAAACCCCCGCCGCCGTACGCCATCGCGTACGAGAACATGATGTTCTGCAGATGGCTCTCCGAATTGCTCCCGATGTAATAGCACTCCCTGTGGTCGTACTTGGCCAGAACCCCGGCCAAATTCTCCGCCACGAAAACGGTGTCGTCGTCCCCCATCACGAACCACCGCACGTCCTCCATCCCCAGCCGCAGCGTCTCCGACACCGCCCTCGATATCCGGATCGCCGACCTGTCCCCCTTCGCGTGCCTGTACTCGAACCCCGACGTGTCGCCGGAGATTCTGATCGGCGGCAGACGGCGGCGGTCCTCCGCCGCCGCCGGCGACGGCGGAGCCTTGTCCATCCAGACGACGCCGCGCATCGTCTCCGGGCGGTACCACAGCTTGATGTACTCCTTCCGCCGGTCCCACAGCCGGGCGGAGGCCGCGATTCCGAACACTATGTGGCGGAGCGACGTTTTTTCTTCCGCCGCCGCCGTGGAGTCGTTGTTGACGGCGGAGGGGAGGCGGAGGGAGGCGAGGTTGCAGTAATTGGGGAAGCGGAGGGAGTAGAAGAAGTAAGGGAGGGAGATTAGGAAGAAGAGGGAGAAGAAGGTTAATTTGGAGAGGGAGCATGTTACCACCGCCGGTTTCGTCCCTTTCCCGCCGCCGCCGCCGCCCGCTTTCTGGTGCCACGGCGCCTCCTGCAGGTTCTCTGCATTGGCGGCGATTAATTTGGAATCCGATTTCATCAATTTTTTTTGCGACGGCGGGGGGCAGATTTACGACGGACGAGCTGATTGGTGGGTTTAGCTGTGGATAGATTGTAATTATATAGAATAGGTGAGGGGATTAGGGATTCGTTGTTGGGGAAAATTGGGACAAAATTGAGGATCCAAGAGATTGTAGTAAGCATAGGCTCAAAATCGACTCTTTGTTTTATATCCCCTTTTCGATTAATATTTTTATTGGAGAAAAGGGGAAATTTGGTTGAGTGTATTGTTGGGAAAAGAGAGAAATTCACTCCATGGAATGATCTTTTTCCAAACAAATTCATGTTGACTCTATTTTCTATCTATATGGAGAGATTTCCTTACTTTTCCACCTCATAAGGAATAAACCCAACTTACAAAATGAGACTAATTTAGTTAGGTATCATAATATCTTAGAGGTTTTAAAGAATGCAATGGTAAGATAGATGATCCTTTTTTACTTGAGGAGTTTAATAGTTTTAACTTCTGCTTGTAAAATGTCTTGTTATTTAATCAGAAGCAAACTGTTCGGTCTGATCACTCCAGAAGAAAGTGTGGGTTGATTCATCGAGTTGGACGGTTAACCGTGATCGGTATGTTGGCGTGACTGCATTTGAAGTTCAAACTTCTGCACACAAAAAAAAAAGTGTCAATGATTATTGTGATTAGTAATATTTATGGATCCTACACTTAGGGTAGTCGTAGTAGTAGTTATGTATTTGGATGCTCACATGATGATAACATATTCGTATGATTTCGTTTGTGTGATATTTTGGATGATTGTTAGAAATTTTGGTTAGAGACAATACGACTATATACATTTATTGTGTTTTACAGGTATACGTTATTTACCAACTATAAACATAATAATAAATCATTGAATGGGGAACCACTAGCTTTTTCAAGTGCGTGATCATTCCCATTGTGAGACGCAAATAAATTGTGGTCTTTTTAACTTTGAATAAATAAATTGTATTCGACTGGGTGTGATCCAAGCAAGATTTTATTTAAATTAATTTTATAGGTTGCTGAGTAAGTAACCGTTTAATTTTACCACGGTGCAATGCATTTGCCTGTCTTTTGGTTCTTCTTTTTCACTTTGATGCATGTATAATTTCTTTTTTATTAATGACAGGGACATTAACATTTTCAATCGAATGAAAGTATTCTGATAAAGATAACCCAAGTTTGGTTAAAGCATAAAAATGTCCTTATTTCCTGGATTTTACAACAATTAATGTATTTGGAAAAAAATTCCCAAAAGTGCATAATATTGTAGTTATTTCCCAAGTTCGGAAAAAACTTCCTCTAGAATCACTTCAAAGAGATTATCATGCTTATCGGGCTGATTAACCTTATCAATGATCACTGTTGCGTCCCCTCCCAATCGAACCTGCGAGAGACCACCATCCAAACACCACCGGATGGCCTCGCGCAGGACTAATAGTTCCTCTATTGATGGATCATCAATATAATCAATCAGGAGTTCCGAGCAAAGACAATCAGACCATTTTGGTCTTTTAAATTAGATGTATCCTAGATTTTTGCTTTGCAAATAAATTGATATGTTTGAGTTATAAGCTCTACATAATAATTGATTATGCTCAGGAACTCAAAGGCAAACTACTATCTTCTCTCAAATAAATGAATAGGTTATCAGTTATTTTTTTTAATTACGTAGATTTTAAAGCCAGCCTTTTATGATTACTCTACCTAGAAAAGACAACTCCCAAAGAGACAAGTGGTTATAGGGAGGACATGAGGAATTTTATGATACTCTACTTTATAGAATCGATGTTTTGGTATAAAAAAATTTTATTTGTGATACAAAATTAACTTCTTCATGTTATGGTATAATATAAAGTCTATTTTGATTTGCAGGGAGCTTTTGATTGACAAAGAAGGAAGAGAAGAACTGGTTGAGTGTAATGAAACGCAGCACTTCAAGCTTCAAGTGGGGTAAATTAGGTGGAGATAGCGGTTTAAATCTCTGCAGCATATATCTTGCTTGCTTGGGCACGTATCAAAAGGGAAAGGTGAAATCATTTGGGCCTGAGCATCAAAGCCCAACTGAGGCAATCTTCTCGTTCAGCGAAAAACACCAAGTTAAGCCTTCACGCAAATTCCTTTCGATCAAACTTAACTGTTTACATCTTTCTTCACTTGTTCTTGGGCCTGAGCATCAAAGCCCAACTGAGGCAATCTTCTTGTTCAGCCAAAAACACCAAGTTAAGCCTTCACGCAAATTCCTTTCGATCAAACTTAACTGTTTACATCTTTTTTCACTTGTTCTTGGCAAAAAGTAGTCGAATAGGTTGTTGCAGGCGCTGGGTTCTCTAAATCAAAGAAAAGAAGAGACAATTGTCTCGCGCTCCACGAACCAACACTTGCAAGACAGGTTTGGTAGTCAGGCAACAGGGTACCTAGCCGACAAGACATACTTGATACCAAGACATGAAATTTAACCAAGTCCGAAAACAAAACAGTCTTGGTAGCAAGGTAATAGGGCACCAAGCCAACAAGACAAACTTGGTACTAAGACAAGAAATTTGACAAAGTCTGGAGCAAAGATGGTACCAAGCCGACAAAACAGGTTTGGTAGCCAGCCGTCAGGTATCAAGCCAACACGACAAGCTTGGTAGTGAGTATGAAATATAGTTAAGTATGAATACCTAGGGTACCAAGCTAGGTACCAACTAAAAGAGTCATGCAGAAACTAAGTCTAGATACCAAGCTTGCAAGACAGACTTGGTATCAAATTACCAAACCTCCCAAAATTTAAGTATGGAATCTCGGGAATGGTATCAATAGACTTTATCATCCGTGGAGAATAGTATCAATAGACTTACGGTGGATATAGGCTCGGCCTGATTCCGTGATCTGCAGCATCCAGAATCGAAAGAAAATGGCATTTCAGAAAAATTGTCCGAAATCTGTGATGGTACCCCTTTGAAATCTGCCAAAAATGGGCCCGGAATAAATTCGCCCAAATCGGCACTTAATGGACATAATCATCGTTGAAGAATAGCCTCATGCCGATCCGTGATCTGTAGCCTTCAAAATCCAAAGAAAATGGCATTTCGTCGCCAAAAAAATTACGAAAATGCCATCCGAAAATAAATTGGCCCAAATCGGTGCTTAATGGACTTATCATCCGTGGAGAATAGTATTAATAGACTTCATTATCGGTGGATATAGGCTCGGCCTGATTCCGTGATCTGCAGCCTCCAGAATCGAAAGAAAATGGCATTTCGGAAAAATTGCCCGAAATATGTGATGGTACCCCTTTGGAATCTGCCGAAAATGGGCCCGGAATAAATTCGCCCAAATCGGCACTTAATGGACTTAATCATCGTTGAAGAATAGCCTCAGCCCGAATCCGTGATCTGTAGCCTTCAAAATCCAAAGAAAATGTCCTTTCGTCGCCAAAAAAATTACGAAAATGCCATCTGAAAATAAATTGGCGCAAATCAATGCTTAATGGACTTATCATCCGTGAAGAATAGTATCAATAGACATCATTATCGGTAGATATAGGCTCGGCCGAATTCCGTGATCTGCAGCCTCCAGAATCGAAAGAAAATGGCATTTCGGAAAAATTGCCCGAAATCTGTGATGGTACCCCTTTGGAATCTGCCAAAAATGGGCCCTGAATAAATTCGCCCAAATCGGCACTTAATGGACTTAATCATCGTTGAAGAATAGCCTTAGGCCGAATCCGTGATCTGTAGCCTTCAAAATCCAAAGAAAATGGCCTTTCGTCGCCAAAAAAATTATGAAAATGTCATTTGAAAATAAATTGGCCCAAATCGGTGCTTAATGGACTTATCATCCATGGAGAATAGTATCAATAGACTTCATTATCGGTGGATATAAGCTCGGCCTGATTTCGTGATCTACAGCCTCCAGAATCGAAAGAAAATGGCATTTCGGAAAAATTGCCCGAAATCTGTGATGGTACCACTTTGGAATCTGCCAAAAATGGGCCCGGAATAAATTCGCGCAAATTGGCACTTAATGGACTTAATAATTGTTGAAGAATAGTCTAAGCCCGAATCCGTGATCTGTAGCCTTCAAAATCCAAAGAAAATGGCCTTTTGTCGCCAAAAAAATTATGAAAATGCTATTTGAAAATAAATTGGCCCAAATCGGTGCTTAATGGACTTATCATCCGTGGAGAATAGTATCAATAGACTTCATTAAGGGTGGATATAGGCTCGGCCTGATTCCGTGATCTGCAGCCTCCTGAATCGAAAGAAAATGGCATTTCGGAAAAATTGCTCGAAATCTGTGATGGTACCCCATTGCAATCTGCCAAAAATGTGCCCGGAATAAATTCGCCCAAATCGACACTTATTGGACTTAATCATCGTTGAAGAATAGCCTCAGGACGAATCTGTGATCTGTAGCCTTCAAAATCCAAAGAAAATGGCATTTCGTCGCCAAAAAAATTACCAAAATGTCATCCGAAAATAAATTGGCCCAAATCGGTGCTTAATGGACTTATAATCCGTGGAGAACAGTATCAATAAACTTCATTATCGGTGGATATAGGCTCGGCCTGATTCCGTGATCTGCAGCCTCCTGAATCGAAAGAAAATGGCATTTCCGAAAAATTGTCCGAAATTTGTGATGGTACCCCTTTGGAATTTGCCAAAAATGGGCAAGGAATAAATTCGCCCAAATCGGCACTTAATGGACTTAATCATCGTTGAAGAATAGCCTCAAGCCGAATCTGTGATCTGTAGCATTCAAAATCCAAAGAAAATGGCCTTTCGTCGCCAAAAAAATTACGAAAATGTCATCCGAAAATAAATTGGCCCAAATCGGTGCTTAATGGACTTATCATCTGTGGAGAATAGTATCAATAGACTTCATTATCGGTGGATATAGGCTCGGCCCGATTCCGTGATCTGCAGCCTCCAGAATCGCAAGAAAAGGGCATTTTGGAAAAATTGTCCGAAATCTGTGATGGTACCCCTTTGGAATCTGCCAAAAATGGGCCTGGAATAAATTCGCCCAAATCGGCACTTAATGGAATTAATCATCGTTGAAGAATAGCCTCAGGACGAATCTGTGATCTGTAGCCTTCAAAATCCAAAGAAAATAGTCTTTCGTCGCCAAAAAAATTACGAAAATGCC